CATAAAGCATACTTCTTCTGCCGCGTAAAATAACATTTCACATCTAAATCAATCGATTTGCTGGCCACCCAATTATGACTCTCGCAAATTAATCTTACATGTCTATGTCTTTGTTTGCTGAAACTTGGTGAGGCGCAAAAGCAAAATGCATTGCGTAATGATGCAGAAACACTTTGCATCCATTACATAGGCCAGCAGGTGTGGCGGGGTCAAAATCATGATAATTCGTTGAAGTACCTAAGCCTAGTCTTCTATCCGACTTCGTGAAAGATATCAAAGAAATAATTGCTTGTGTATGTTATTTGATCGATCTAACTCAACACTGAAGTTATAAGGGTGAATTTTAGCACATACCTAACCTTTGTCCTGACCTAGAGGTTCTCCCTCAAGGTCCTTTCCTGCAGAATTACTTCCTGCTCATAGGTTGTATACAGAAGAAAAAGCAAAAGGAAAGGAATGGATACCTAGGTAGAGATGGAAGCGTGTTGCAAAAAGAAGAAAAAGAAATTGAGAACAAAAAATGAATGTTCATATGCCTCCACCCCGAATCGAACGAGGGATCTTCGCATTACTTGAGATACAAGTGCGACGCATTAGCCACTTTGCCATAGAGGCTTATTTGATGGAAGGCTGCGTTGTTATTTTAGTTTATGTCGCTAATGCTTATCGGCGTGGTATTAATGATGCTAGTGGGAGGGGCAAAGCGTGGAGGATCTAAGATTGTTACCTGCCTAATCGGGGTTCTATGGCGCAACTAACGATGCTTCAGTATGTGGCTGGGGCAGCCTCTTTCACATTGCGAGCAACAATTCTAAACATTGGTATGGACACAACATTACTAAGAATAATTGGCCTAAGCATGGAGGTTTCTGACTAGAGCAATGCATAAGACGAAGATATCCTTTATTGAAGCGAACTTAGCAATATAGTCGATAACTAGTTACTAACTAGAGGACTTGGGTAAGCAGAATCTCTCAGAGAGCAAAACTTCCTAATATTCTTCTCCTTAACTATGTGCACATATTATTTTCCTTCGAGATATTGATCCTAACTTATAATTATATGTATTGATGAGAACCAAGCTAATATGCATGCTACCATAATGAAACTGAGTAAAAAGAAGACAAGTATACGCTCATACAGCATGCCATCGCACAATCAGTAGCATGCATTATCGTGTCATTCGTGAGTATCATTTCAATTGCCACCAAAGTATTTAAGAGTACCATCCGTTCCATGTAGGGTTATTAAGCTTGATCTAACAAGAGAACTGAATTAGCAACCTGAACTTCATACTCTCCACTCAAGTCACAAAAAAAAAAACTTACGTAGCTCGCGTTAATTTGATGCACATCACCAAGGCCCATATTAGCAGCATCGATAGCAATCTCGTGCTTCACCAACTGCAGAGCCTTCTTGATCCCCTCGACACCATAGAGGTTGGCGAAGGCAAGCGGGCGGGCAGCGCCAACAGCCTTGACACCAAGAGCCATGAGCTTGAGCACGTCGGAACCGTACCGCACCCCACCGTCGGCGTAGACCTCGATCTGCTGGAAGATCTCGGGGGCCTCCTCGTAGATCTCCAGGGCAACTTCGAGGGCCGACGGCACAAAGTCGAGCTGGCGGCCGCCGTGGTTGGAAATGAAGATGCCCGGGGCTCCGGCGGCAACGGCTAGCTTGGCGTCCTCGACGGTCTGGATACCCTTGGGGATGATGGGGAGGCTCGTGAGGTTTCCCAGGTGCTTGTAGTAGTCCCAGGTGGCGTAAGTGTAGCCCGAGTCCACCGAGGTTACGTTCCAGCGGGCAGCTCGGTGACGGTTGCCGTCTCCGGCAGAGTCGACGGTGAAGAAGATGGCCTTGCCGCCTGCAGCCTCGACCTGCTTGAAGTAGGCCAGGGTGTCGGCGTCGGTGCCTTCGTTGTAGAACTGGTGGCCTGTGACCTGGCCCGGGGCCTTAGCGGCCGAGATCTCGTCCAAGGTCTTGGAGGCGTGCATCGAAGCAATGTATAGAATATTCTCTTCAGCAGCCCCCCTGACTAGGTTCAGCTCAGCATCGGGGTGGGAAAATTCCGCACGGCCAAATGGGCTCATGAAAAAAGGAGCCGAGAAGGTGTGGCCGAACAGGGTCGTGTTTAGGGACGCTTCGACTCGAGTAATGTCAGTTAGGACGCGAGGGCGGAATCTCAGACGCCCGTAGCTTTCGAGGTTGTTGCGGTATGACCACTCGCCACCAGCCCCAGTTCGAAAGAACGACCATCTGGTCGCATTCAGGTATCTTTCAGCTACCCACTCGAAGTCAGGCAGACCGACAATATTCTTGAGGTCTGGCAGACTGTCATTGGCTGTGCTACCCAAGGCGAGCTCGATGCCAGTATCCGCGCTACCCAAGAACGGACGGACGGCAAGACCCGAGCCCACGAGTGAGAGAAGAGTAATGAATGACAGCATGATGTTTAGGTATGACTTCAAAGTAGAAAAGAACGGCGAGATGGCTGGACGGAACTGGAAAGAATCTGGTGCAACATGATCGTCCTATAATAATTATTTATAGATGGGGGCCTTCGTAGGGTTGCCCTACATGATGTAGTACTGAAATGGAGATGCTATTCCGAAGCCTGAATTCAGCATCCTCCTACATACCTAGCGTGTCCGAGTCTCGGGATCTATGTCACCCTATCTCTACTCAAGCCTGGAGAAGTTCGAAGAAGCATAGCGTTCGCTAGGCAAAGGGTATCTCTCCACCAGACGAAAGGCAGATGCAATATCTAGGGTTAATGAACTTATAATCCAGTCAGGGGTAACTTTGTGGCGAATATCACGGCAAGAATATGATCATTAAAATGGCGACATTCCGATTTTCGGGTACAAGAGTCCCTCCTATATGCCGTCGAAGGTTTCCGCGGCACACCGAAGACCATACATGACATCAATCTAGCTGCGTCCTGGATACCGGGCGATGCGACTTTGGCCGGCTATCAAGCGGGTGATGGGAACCGATAGAAGATGCCCGAGCGTGCCTCATCTACCAGTTAGGCAATAGAAATGGAACGATGTAGAATCGCACTGGGAATTGCCCCATGTTGGTGTCATAATGGGTAAGCATCCTCCGAGCTGCTTCACGTGGAGAAGACCAAAATAATCGGTTAGGTGCTTCTCCAACATAGGTACCTGCCTCTCTTGGCGGACAATACACGAGATGGGTATCATTAATACTACTAGGCCTCGTTAGGGAGTATATTAGAGTCGCTAGGTCTAAGAGGTTCTTAAGAAGGATGTAGCCTATCTGATAACCTTTATTGATAATGAGCTGTGAGAGGGATATATGAGGAGCACCGAGGTTCGAAGATCACCAAAGAAATAGAAGAAGAGGGGATTTGCAAGGGTTGGATCAAGCTTCTCGTTTTGGACCAGCCCAAATGCAGGAAGTCCGGGAGGAAGACTACTGGCTCCCGATATGTGGGATGTGGGGAATCTTATATGCCGAACCCGGGGCTCATTACTCTCTATAGAGTGTCTTGTAGTTATTTTTGATCAGGTATGCTTGATAGTTGAGGTTTCAATAGGTTTTCCGCAATTTCACCGAGGCATCCAAAAATGACATTGTGTTATGTTATATTGACTCTGGGGCAACTAGAAAATTACTATGCGCCGTGAGCCGGGGAACACCCAGAATAAGAGGCAATCTGCGGAAAGTGCCTGCTACCATCGTCGTAGCTACATATAGATCCACCTAGTTATCAATTATTGTATTGTATACAACTATACCACGTCAATGTTTAGTCAAGTCTAGACAGTCTGCAAGTCTGTGATGATGAAGTCTAGAGCTCTTGGTATCCGTAGATGAGAACCTCAACTTGTGTTTTCATACTTGCAAGCCCATTAGCAATAGCTAAACAAATATACTACATAGACAAAAGCTATATTACAAGTTCCTTTGGAAGTGAATCTGGGCTACCAGAATGTCGCGGTCTTATATGTTGCATGTGGCGTGCAGAGTAGATCTAGGTTTGCCTATAGTTAGGTTAAATACACCAGCCACTAGGTATGTAATTGTATGGGCTTGATTCTACGCACTGCCCGATCGGGACTTCTTGTAAGACATAACTGGCCTTTGATTGGCCATGCTACATATTCCTAGGAGGATACTACCCCTGCCACTAAACCCGCAGCATATATACATACCGAGGGTCTTCACGCGCAATTGAATTCAGCTCTAATCTAGTCTTTCCATTTATTGTCTACACTATAGAACTTTCATGCTCACCACTTAGTTTTCAAGTTGTCAACTTACCTAGTGACTGGAGAAACTTATAAGTATAACATCGATGACCATCCTTGACGCTAGCCGGAACGTGCACTACCTCCCCTAATGTGCCTTGGTCAACCGTAACCGGAGACGTTCCTGCCGCCGTGCTTATTACACTCTATTACACCCTCGGATGATAGAAATCAGTCCGGGTCTGAGCCACGCAGAAGAGAACACGCCAATTATCTATATTCAAATACTTAATACCGACCTCCGTATAAAAAGTCCTCCGATGGGAACCTGGCCAGGCTGCACACACTGCCGCACCGAGAGGTTAATTTGTCTAGGACACAAGAAGACAGACCTAGCTTGGTGTTGCTGGGAGGAACAGCTGCTCAAGATGGCGCTTTGGAAACAGGCAAGATGGTCAAATTCAGGATTGTAGATAAGTATCGATAGCGAGTCGAGCCAGGACAGCGGCGAGCAAGTAAGATTGCCGTCATCGTCCTAATTGGCACCGCTATAGAGCAGGAGACTAATCTTCGTGGCACTGTGGGGGGTGGCTGAGGATATTTATATCCCCCAAACTAAGAACATTGTTCTTCGCCGTGTGTAAGTTCACACTACGACAGAACCACCCTACACTACCTACCTTAAAATTACTAGAAGCGCCCGCTTGGCACAGAAGAATAAAATATATAAACATTATTGAGGCCATACTCATTAAACTTAACCCTTACATTCCGGACATAAATTTCGAATTGGTGTAGTGGCTAACATTTGATGCTTTCATACTTGTGTGAACCGTCAAGCCCGGGGTTCGATTCCCCGATTCGAAGACTACTTCTATTTTTTTGAACCCCCCCCCCCCCCCCTCCCAAAGAAAAAAAAAAATAAAAAAACCCTTTTCCCTACCATCGTCTAGTGTGGACGACGTAGGCCGTGACCATATCGATTAGTTATTTGAAATAAATCCGGTTGATATCCGCTTTGAACGGCATCAGGAACCCTCTTCGGACGATAATCCGTAATAACTGACGAGAATCGCCTCTCATTTTCTCCTATAAACTCACATAGACGCTCATCACATAACCAACGTGTGTGTGTGTGTGTGGATTCAGGCCTGAAGATGTAGTAGAAATACTACGAGAGGTACTTCCCTTCCTCAGCCGCAACCGATTCTACCCAGTGATAAGATCGGCAATTAGTCTGAGAACTTCGTTCTACTCGGTCCTGTCCCGTCGAGTCACTCATATTCTGGTTCTCACTATGTTTCTTCGGGTGTTATGTATTATCTCATGGTAATGTCTTCTTCCGAGCATAATTCGAAGCTGAGTAACAATGGCTACAACATCGTCAAAGCCAGTGTGCATCATTATCTGTTATTGATTATTTCTTACTCAGTCTCTGATATACTAATCGTGGCAAGGAAAACCCCCAAGTATTCCTGGCTCCATACCAGACATAAAGTACCGAGCCAAGTCAGCCTGCGTCTAGCTAACCCATGTTGGAAGGCGGCAGTTCCGCAAGATGACTAGGGCAATGAAGAAAGCAGTAAGCAGGTCCCGCTGGTGGCGTATAATATTGGGTTGAGACCTAAGCATATATGAGCAATGAAGACAAGAGATCATTCTAGATTGGCATCACAATTGTAATAGACTGAATAGGGGAGGCCTTAGTTAGAATCGTTATTCATCAGGCACAAGCCAAGATCGTACGGGATCATTCCATGGATGCATTACCCTCATCACTGGCGTAATATACACCCTATGCGAGAACAGAGTTACAATTCCTGACATGGTGCCTTGCTGCGGCGATTGGCTGTGAAAACGTAGACTGAAAATTGCACATCATGAAACTTCAGGGTTAGAGCAGTTAGGTGAGAATGAATAATCATTGGTTCTTTGGGTCTCTATAGCTTTATACAGCCGAAAGAGAGGCTCTTCTAAACCAGACGGACACAATATAAGTGTGCTACAATCATCAATGTGGGGGGGTTCGGGCCCGAGCCATGGGCAAAATACGACGAGTCGCGACCGAGGTCAGTCCGGACCCCGGGTCCGAAAACATTCAGATACACAGACAAGGGCAAGAAGAGAGCCGTCGTACCAAGAAACCTGGTAATTACTTTTTTTCCTTTTGGGTTTCCAGTTTTGTCTGATGATGCAACTTGAGATATAAAATTTTCTACCGGAGAAAGCTGGTTCGTTGACCATTACCGAGTCTTTGTGGTAAGCAGTTCTAATTGAGATATGTGGGTTGAATGAGCAATGGAAAAGAGCCGTGCATTTTAGGTGCTTGTCTATTTCCCTAATTAACATAGAAGAATATTGGAGAGATAAGCACATACAAATAAATCATGTATGCCAAGGCCCTCCAGCCTTTCTCCTATGGATAGACAAATAGACGTATATTTTAACATATGCTGCGCCTCTCGGGGACATGACTTTGACCAAAAGCGTCTATTCAACATAGGCTAGTGGTTAGGGGACTTTGAAGGAGAGCAAGGGGTGTAAGAAAAGCCTCTGCCGCTATCATGATCGTGGAGAAGGAGGATTCAGCTTCATCTACATAATTATGGGCGGAGGACGGGCCGTCACCGGTATGCGGGTTAGAGGCGATACTCGCCCGGGCTGCTGGGGTTGATAGCACAAGTTGACCTAGGAGGAGGACGATCACAAGTCTATCCCTGCCTGCCCTCACGCCCACCCATTATTATACAATGTCACCTTCCCTGAGAGGGGAAAGGAAATGAGAAGAAAGAGCCAATATTATCATATTATCCAGTGAGACGAGGCATGTTCATATGTAGGTCGTCAGCCAGATTGCTACCACACACAATCCTTTCTCTTTCTCTCTCCCATCTTATTCCTTTTCTTCACCACACAATATGTGTTACAGTGTTCCTATACTTTATGCAACGAGAGATCTATATATAAATGGTTACTATATGCATTGGCGAACAAGCCATGCATGCTCACCCCCAAACCACCTCGAACTTTCGGGACCGGTAGTGACAGCTCTAGGACAGCCGATGAAGAAATTGAATGACTACATGTGAAATGTTCTACGCAGATCACTTGATAAACTGACAGACGGGTTAAACAAAAGTGCTTTGTAGCTTATATGCCGCCTTTCATGATAAATGATTCGACTTGCTTTCCCACACGTGCTGTCGTGTTTCCACCTTCTACCCCCCCTTATCGTTCCTTTTTCTGCCCCGTCTAACCTCTCTTCATGTTGTGCAAGTCTTCGTTTTTGTTCACTTGCATTTTCTTGAAGGATAGTATATGCGCCTCTCCTCGTTTGTCGTGCCGATCGTGTTAGTTTCTGGTTACTAGAAGTGGCCGAACGACGCTGGAGGGTGAAAAGCACGGAGGCAGCATCTTGAGAGCGCGAAACTTTTGTTATAATGATACCCCTGAGGCACGTTCTTGCGGCTCTTCTGTTTTTTACTACCTTCGCTGCAGCCCAGAACATATCTTCTTATATCCCTGCTTGCGCGCCGCCAGTAAGCCTGACCCGTCCGGCCTGTCTACGAAGTTAAACCTGCGAGCTAACCGCATCCTGTATGGTCTATAGTGCATTGAAGACACAGTGAAAAACACGACGGTCTGTAATGGGCTTGATGAGAATACCTGCCTATGTAGCAGGATGGAAGACGTAGGGCGTCAGTCATTCCGCTGCTTTTTCACGAACTGTGGTAGCATCCCAGATGCTAGGAGTAAGTTCACCCTTCTTCCTCCCCCAATTCCCCTGTTTCTCCCGTCTATCTCACGTATCACTGTTCCAATTTTCTTTCTTGACAATGTCTCGCGAGCATTTTCACGTGGCCAGTATTATGCACCCCATGCTGCGCTGACACGCTCTATGGCGCCACCGTTACGCAACATCAGCCGCGTTACTAGTGCAATGCTGTGATAAGTGGTAAAGCTGACTTCAGGGCCGGTCTATAGATCAAGTCATGACGGGGTGGCAAAACTTCTGTTCTGTTGTACAAGGCACTGCCAACGGCACGACCATCTCCCCCACGGCATCGTCAACGCCCTCCGCGCCAACATCAGCATCAACAGCCCCCGGTACAACATCAACACCAGCGGCATCATCGGTATTAAGCACCGGTGCGAAAGCAGGAATCGGCATAAGCGCCGGGATTAGCGGTCTCTCCATCATCGGAGGCCTAATATTCCTAGGGTTTCGTCTCGGCCGACGGAAAAGAGGGGCTACTTTGAATACTGCCGAGGACCAGGAGAGCAGCGGCGCAAATAACGGTAACAACGGCGACAACGATGACAAATCCGCGGCCGACGCTCTAGGGTATAAGCCGCAGCTCGATGGTAACGCCGTCTCGGAGCTACAGCCAGACTACGGTCCAGATGACCCGAATCCCGTTAAGGAGCTCGAAGCACGGGAACGTCCTGCGGAGCTTTGGCATGGAGAAAGCGCCAATATCGCGAGCCCTACAGCGACGGTTTCGAAACTGGACTCAAGTCCAAATAAGGATCTAGCGCCATGGACGGACAACTACTGCTATGATCCTGACCCGAGTGGCACGTACGGACCGATAGTTTATGAGCTGCCCACTCATCCAAGTATGGAATCGTCCACCATGGGCCATATAGACGGTCGAGAGTAATGGACCTAGAGGATATTTTACCGTCTACTTTTCATTATATATCCGCCGCCGTTGAAGACATCGTAAGGTAAGGCCAAATATCACGGCCAGTGACTCCAAATCATAGAAGCCATTCAATCAAGTCGATGCAGAAACTCCAGGTACGTTGGTTCACTCAATCAGTATCACCAGCGGGTCAGCGATATCTAATACCTTTTATTTGTAGCATAGCTTCAATATAAAGGAGAGTCTTATAACACGACGAAATTGATAGGATATACACTTTTTAAGAAAAAGATACAGAGTCTCAAATAGGGGCAAGACGTTTTGGGGAGGGGCTGAATACTACCTTTGAGTAATCTCTCTTGGGGCCGGTTGTACCACGGCAGGGCCGGGGGCGAACCATGAGTGGCTACGGTACGAACGATAGAAATGAATTGAAACAAAGGTGCTATTTTGCCTTCGCCAATTAATACCGTATTGGTGTGCTTCATTCCAGTGCCGCCTCGATTTTTCAACGCTGTCTGGAGATATGTGCCAGTTTCAAGACGAAGATATAATGCCCCCCCCCCCCCTATACCCGAAACTCAGGAAGAAAAAGAAAAGGGAAAAAGAAGGAGAATGTCCCCCGACGATTACCTCTATTGCATCTACCGTCAGAAATTCAAGGGGAAATACTGTCATAGCGACAGGGATGGCCTATATGAAAAGGGGAAGTCTTATCCTGTTTTCTGCTGCCGTCCTAACATCAGTGGTCGTTGTCTCAGCCGTAAGCGTCACGGATTCTTGTCCGACATGTGGAATCCCCTGTATCCAGAGCGCAGTAGCGCAGTATCGGTGCAATTTGGATGATGAGGGTTGTATATGCTCTGTAAGGGGTCAGATAACGGTTGATGCAATGAGTTGTATAGCGGACGCGTGTACCGGTATCAATCAAGGTTCGATCCACCTATTATTCTCTGTAAACCCCCCTCCTTGAACCTTTCAGCCCGTCAGATAGCAGATCTAACAATTCCCGTCACTATGAGTAGCATCGGCGATGGGTGTCGTAGACGCGTTCTGTGATAACCCTGGCTCTTCTGCTGAAGCAGTGACGAGCCAAACGGCGAACACTCCTGGATCAGCAGGCTCAATATACAATTACTTTTCAACATCAAGTGAATGGTCGACGCACTGGGGAACAACACGAGACGCAACATCTCCTACAACCTCAACCACATCACT